TATACCCAGAGAGAAACTGTGGGACTCCCCAAATGAGCCAGCCTGCCTCTCAACCCTGGGTTTTTTTCCCCCCACAAACTGGAAGGACTCATTGCCCAGAAACCTTGCTTCAAAGATCCGTGGTCCCTCTCCCCTGGCCACCAGAGGAAAGGCTTCCCAGCAGGATGTACTACAGCGGTCACCAGCCAGATGGGGGCCAGGCCAAGTACACGCCTTGACACTGTGCCCAGCCCATCTGAGCCACCAGGAGCCGCAGGCATGAGCTCCCCAACCCCACAGCTGGTGGCAGAATTTTCCTGGGAAAACCCAAGAGTTCACATTGTCCCTTGGCCTTTCCTGTAAGTCCCCGCGATGGGTCCTCAGATGACACAGCAGCGTGGGAAGCAGCAGCCAGTGTTTCGTGCTGGCTCTCTGGTTTTCACGCTGGTTTTGGTCACCATCAGGTGGTGGCAGTCCCTCGCCGTGAGGAGTCCTGGGTCTCTATTCCTTCTGTGTCTAACCGGGGGAAGAAATCAGAGTTGGGACTGCCTTGCTGCCTCTGGGCATCTTTGGGGGGATTCCTGGTCTCTGTGGGAAGGTAGGAACAGGGCAGGTTGAAACTAGGAATGCTGAGAGATGTGTGGGGCCCTAAGGAAGTGACCACCGCAGTGACAAAGTGGGCCATCTGTGGCCAACTGCAGCGAAGGCTCACTTAGCCGAGGTTGTCAGCTGCTAACAGGGGATATTTTGAGCTGTGTGCATGCCGTTGATTGCCCTGTACTTCTATTTACAAAAAGAAAACAGAGGCTGACTTTGTGGCGCAGCAAGTTAAACCACTATCTACAGTGCTGGCATCCACTTCTGATCCAACTACCTGCCAATAACTGTGGGAAAGCAGTGGAAGAAGACCCAAGTGCTTGGGTTCCTATCATCCAGATGGCCCAGGACTGGCTGTGGTGGCCATTTGGAAAGTGACCCATCAGATGGAAGATCTTTCTCTTTTTCTCTTTCTCCCTCTGTCTGCCTCTCTCTTCCTTCTTTTCTTTTCTTTTTGTTTCTTCATATATATGTGTGTGTGTGTATGTATTATGATCTTTACATAGTTGTTAGGGCTCAAAGGGTCAAGGGCTACAGGAAAGTGGCTAAGACCACTGTTTCCACATTGTCTTTTTTCCTTCCTGTATCTGGGGAAAGGGGGAGATAAAAGGAGAAGCCACACCCACCCTTCAACCCATCCCAGGGTCCCCGATGTGGGGCATGCTCCGAAGGCACTGCTCAAGTGTTTTGATAGTTCAACCGTTCTGAATTACTTCTGTTCTCACCATTCCAAGCACGATGAAATCTCTTCAGAATCCACTGACTCACACAGTCCACCTTAGTGTCTCCACTTGCCCAGATTTTCACTGCCAACACTTGACTGGGAGAGTTAATCAATTTGTTCTGTCCTCTGTTGTGGTACCAGGTGTCCTATGCAGGCTCCAATGTACTACCATATCATCCATGTGCGTCTGAATACACCGTCAATTGCTCCGTCTGAGCCACTATGCCTCTCCTTGTCTTTATAACAAATAGATTTGGGGGGGGGGTGAGATTTATTTGTTTGTGTTGGTAACTCAAATTTAGAGAGAAAAATCTTTCACCTGCTGGTTCACTACCCAAGTGGCTGCAATGGTGAGAGCTGAACCAATCCAAAGCCAGGAGCCAGGAGCCCCACACAGATGCAGGGTCCTCTGCTGCTTTCCCAGGCCAAAAACGGGGAGCTGGAAGGGAAGTGGAGCATCTAGGACAAGAACTGGTGCCCATATAGGATCCTGGTGTGTGTAAAGCAAGGATTTAGCCACTAGACCATTATTCCAGACCCAAATAAATAATTTTAAAAAGAGAGAAATCCCCCCACCCCATTCTTTTTTTAAAAAGATTTATTTTTATTAGAAAGGCAGATATACAGAGAGGAGAGACAGAGAGGAAGATCTTCCGTCTGATGATTCACTCCCCAAGAGACCACAATGATTGGAGCTGAGCTGATCCAAAGCCAGGAGCCAGGAACCTCCTCCACGTCTCCTACACGGTTGCAGGGTCCCAAGGCTTTGGGCCGTCCTCGACTGCTTTCCCAGGCCACAAGCAGGGAGCTGGATGGAAAGTGGAGCTGCCGGGATTAGAACTGGCACCCGTATGGGATCCCAGCGTGTGCAAGGCAAGGACTTAAGCCACTAGGCCACCGTGCTGGGCCCCACCTTGTTCTTTATTTAGGACTTACTTATTTTAAAGGCAGATTAACACACACACACACACACACACACACACACACACACACAAATGCCTGCAATATAGCAGTAGACCATTCCAAGCCAGGATTCCAAAACTCCATCCAGGTCTCCATGTGAGGGCAGGTGCCTACGTGCTTGGGCCATCTTCTGCTCTCCGGGTGCATGAGCAGGGGCTGGGTCGGAAACGGGGCAGCCAGGACTCACACTGGTGCTCTCACAGGGGCCGAGGCCATTCCCAGCAACAGCACGACCAGCTGCCCTTGACGCTCCACTCCTGAGTTTTAGGCATGGCCTGCTGCTACTCCTGGATGTTGCACTTTGAGACATCCACCGGGTGAGAAAATTGGAGGTCCGCCTGCCTCCCAGCACCCAACGCAAGGAATGACCACTGCTGCTCTCTCAGTCCCTGCCCTTTCACAGCCGTTGGTGGAAAAGGTGTCAGTATCCCCACCTGACAGATGAGGAGCCTGAGGCCGCATAACAGCTGGTTGGGCTCAGAGCTGGGACCAGGAGCCCCAGCTACCTGTCCTGGTGGCTGAGCAGGGGAAGACTTCCAAAGATTCACCACAGGGCAGGAGCGGCATCCCGCTGTCGTCCACCCCCCTCAACCCCCACTTCGTGGAACATCCTTCCTCAGGGGATGGAGCTGGTGCTGACTGCTGGCAGCCTCCACCGCCCCGCAGCACAGGGGGCCTTCCCTGCAGCAGTTACCGACACAGGAAGTGCCTACCAATCAGCACTGGTCATTACTTATCAAATCATCACTTTCCTCAAAAGCCCCCAAGTTCTGGGGCTGCTTGGTACGCAGTTTCCTGCCCTGGTTTCCCAGGTGATTAATGGAGCTCACAAACCCACATTTCCATGGAGTGGGAGGTCTTCAACCGACTTGGATGCCACCCCAAGCTGAGAGAGAGAGAGAGAGAGAGAGAGGTGGCCACAGTTTTCAGGTAGGACCATGGGTAGTTCCTGCTGTTCCTAGAACAAATGGACTTAACCTTGTTAGGAAAGAGATGAGGGGAGGTGTGACTGAAGACCCCCCCTGTCCGCCCTCCTGTCCTACACCCTGCGACAATGGCACACAGTCACAGCGAGGAGGAGCTGTATGCACTGCTTGAACACACAGCAACTGTCACCCAGGTTGTACCCGTGGGGAGGCAGGGAGGGAGTGCCTGCAGTCAGTTGGGCATCATTTAGGAAAGGCCCAGGCCTGCTCTCAACTCTCTGCTTTTGGGGACGGAGACCCTGATCACACTTTGGTGGCCTTGCTTGGAAGTTGCCTGGCTCCTGGGTAGACATTGCTGCATGCCCTGCTATGAGACACGGGTGCTATGGGACAATGTACCTTCCATTTCCCCCTGTCCCTAGTCACCTTGGGGCCAGCCATCCCCTGCAGCCCAGACACGCCTGTCCCCTGCCCTGCCCTGTCCCGCACTGCTGTGTGTGCCTGTGCGTCCCTGGCCCAGGTCCCCACCACAAGGACAGGAAGTGGTCCCCACATCCGCCCAGGGCCGCACAGCCTGGTGCTTTTTAAAACCCTGCCTTGTGGTCCCTGAGTCCAGCGGCCAGGGAGGGCAGGTTTAAAAAGACATACAAACTGGTCATTAAAATCTCAGCGTGGGGTTTAGGGAAGGCCCAGGGCAGCTCCCACCTCTGCTTTCCGGAAACACAGATTTCAGAGTTTGAGGGGGACGGAGGCAAAAGTAAGGCCTCCTGAGTCCCCTGGCTGGGCAGCTGGGGAAGTGTGGGAAGGACCCCACCACCACAGGCTCTGCCTGGACTGCTGGACCAGTCTCCACCCTGGGCCCCCACGCCACCCTACCCGCAGCCTGTCCTGGATCCCTGTCTGCATAGGATCTTCCCATCCGCCCCCAGCTCCTCTCCAGTCTGGCACTTCTGCTTCCTGTTGCCCCAGAACCCCCTTCCCCTTCCCCGTCGGGGGTACAGCCCCTCTTCCAATGGTGCAGTCCAGCCCCATCTCCTACTGACCCTGGCCCTTGCTGTACCCAATACCTTAATCTGTGGCCACTTCTGGCACCCCCAAACTGGAGCACAGAGCCCCTCTGCCTGGAGCAACTCTTGCCCCTCCCCAACATCTGGGGTTCTACCCATTGTCCTTCAAGGCCAGCTTAGGTGTTCTGGGCTCCCCGGAACCTGCTAAGACCTACAGGCTACAGGGACTCTGGACATCCCTGCCCTTGAAGGAACTTTCCAGAAGCCTGTTATCTCCTCCCTGTTTCACCTACCTTTCCCATACCTTTCTTCCCCTTGTTCCCAGAATGCACTTGGGGCCTTAGCCCTCCCCCCCGCCCCAGCCCTAGGCTCTTCCACTCTCCGCCTTCCCTCTGCAGTGTCCTCTCTGGATGCTGAGGCCAAGTCCCATCATTTTGAGCAGCTGGCTCAGCTGTCTGCTTGGATCCGTGTCCCCCTGAGATGTGGGCAGCCATATCCCTGCCCCTCAGGGTCCCCCAAGGGCTGTGACCTCAGGGCCATCATCCACCTCCCCTTCAGCCTGGGCACTCCAGAGGAGGGTCTGTCCCTGTTCCATATGTGGCCCAGGACCCGCAAAGGATCAAGGGAGGACATGAGTGCTGCTTGGGGTTTGGGTCTGTTGAACACCTCCTCTTTACACTGCTTCGTGGAACCCCATCTACACCCCTGAGCAAGCCACTTGCAGAGGAAGAATTCCACCCCACCCCAGCCCCAGAAGCCCAGGCCATCCAGCTGAGGGTGACCCCCACTCTGTGTGTCTTTCAGTGGAGCGCGACCACGTCCTGGGCCCCCAGGAGCCCGGCTGGAAGGAGCTGTTCTTTGACCTGACTCAGATCCCAGCAGGAGAGGCAGTGACGGCTGCTGAGCTCCGCATCTACAAGGAGCCCAGCACCCTGCTGGCCAACAGGACCCTCCTCGTCAGCACCTTCCAGGTGGTCCAGGAGCACGCCAACAGGTACCTCCCCAGAGCCAGCCCCATGTTCTCAGACTCAACGTCATGGTGCAGGAGCTGAGCTATGACCTGTCCAGTTGGGTCAGGCACAGGAGTGGTATTTCCCAGAGGAGGAGGGGGAGCTTCCTGGGAGAATGAACAGAAGGGTCAGGCAGGTGTGGGGCTCCAGGCTTCAGCTAACTTCGAGTCCCTGTCCTTCCAGCCTAGCTGTGGGGCCTTAAGATGGGTGACCAAGCCTGTGTCCTCATGAGTGCAGGTGCTGAACCAGCACCATGGTTGCTGTTGGGAGCCAAGGCACAGATGGGCCCAGCTCCAACTCAGGCAGGGCAGGTGCTCCGTGACGTCCCCAGGCAGGCACTAGATGCACAGTGGCAGCTGGTGGCCCATGGTTAATTGTTCTTTCGTATCCACAGGGAGTCTGACTTGTTCTTTTTGGATCTTCAGACGCTCCAGGCTGGGAAGGAGGGCTGGCTGGTGCTGGACGTCACAGCGGCCAGTGACCGCTGGCTGCTGAACCGTCACAAGGACCTGGGACTCCGCCTCTATGTGGAGACGGAGGATGGTGAGGCTCAGGGGCTGGGGGTTGGGCTGCTCAGAGGCTGAACCCACAGGACCTTCTGGGAGCAGAGGCATTGGCCACGCTGGTCCCAGGCAGCTTCCTCAGCTGATCCCTCGGGGAATGCCAGTAAGGCAGAGTGTGATCCTGGATAGAAGCCCTTGCCTGGACCGGAACCCTTCCCTCCTGACAGGAGGATCTGGGGCTACAAATGAGTCCAGGGGCCCTGTGTTTGAACCCACTTCTGCCTCAGTTTCCTCATCTGCAGATGATGAGTCACTCACCTACTGGCCCACAGGAGCTGTTGGCTGAGTCCCCTTCATCCCAGGCGGTGAGGATGGAGCCTCTGAAGGTGGATCCGGGAGGGTCCCAGACGAGGGATGTGGAGGGGCTGAGTGGACAGGGCAGGGGGCTAGAGGAGGGGAGTGAGAGTGGCAAAGTCACTGAGTGCGGGCAGAGCATGCGGGATGTTTGGTGTTTGGCCTTGGCTTCTTGAGCTGTAGTAACCACAGGCCGGCACTGCCTTGGTTTCTACAGGAGCCCGCCGAGCTTCGCCACTCTAAGGAGCCAGGGACCTGCTTCCTGGGAGCACAGTGTGGTTGGGGCTGCAGAAAGCTGGCGAGTAGCAGCTCAGCTGTCAGTGCAGCGACGCCGACGCTGGGGCCCTGGATGGGAGGTGATGAGAAGGGTGCTTCCTTGAGGCCTCAGCCCCAATGCAACCATCAGAAGTCAAAGGCTGGACTGCCACCCAAAATCTGGGTCTTGGTTACAAATCAGAATAGCCGGGTTGAGGGTCTGCAGGACAGGACTGTCTGGTGGTGGCCCCAGCCCAGGCCAGGAAGGATTGTGGGAACAGCTCCCTTCCAATCTGGGCCAGGACTGTTCCAGTGCCCACTGCCCAGCACCAAGCAGGGCCTGAAGCAGCCACCCAACACCTTCTGTGCTGTGACATAGCAGCCGTAGGGCACTGCGGCTCCTGGCTCAGCGTTCCGATGCTATGTCCCTGCCGGGTGCTTAGGACTGGCACCAGTGCAAGGCTGCTTGGCTGCCGAACCCTGGGCCCATGTCTGCTTCTATACGGACCCCATGGTGAAGGTGAAGATCAACTCCGACGGGGTGTTGGTCCTGGGAAGGGGCTTCTGGCTCTGTGAGATCACCGAGAAGCTGATCACAGCACTGCTGCAGACACGCCTGCGGGACCCGTGGGTGATCAGCAGCAACGTGGGCTGTGGACGACTTCAGCCTGGGCTTGCTCCTAGCCACCAGGTAGATCCATAGCTGGGCAAGATCATGCCTCACCAACACTAGGAACTGGTGGACGAGCTGCAGGTGGAGCTTACACCCAGGGCACCCTGGCCAAGTGCATCCACCGTGGAGGTGCCAAGCTGCCCACCTATTACATGCCCAGAGCCTGCAGGACCTGGTGCAGGAAGGGGGTGTGCCCCCCTCCCCAAGCTGCTACTACTCCCACTGGTGTTGGCCAACTGAAGCCAGCCCTGCCACATGAGGGCGTTGGAGGGTTGCCAATGGCTGCTGAAGTGTCTCCTCATGGCCACCTTTGCACTGGTCAAGGGCCAGAAGGCTGCCTGTGACCACAACATGGTCTCCTACTGCGACGCTCCCGTGAACAAAGCCATGTAAGCTGTGGCTATAGAGGCCAAGGAGTTCATGGATGTGGGGGCCTTCTGCCCGGAGAGCACTCACCTGCCCAGCATCTGTGTGGACCACGTGCTCTCAGGACAAAAATTCCAGAAGAGGATAGAGCACCTAACAAAGTGGCAAGTAGTGGGAGGGGGTAGCAGAAGCCTGCACGGAAACTGGAGTTCTCAGATGTTGGGCACCTCTACATGGGTCTAGGTATCCCTCTGCTGGCCAGCAAGTTCAGGCACAGGACTGTCGCCAGCATAGCAAGAATGGAATCAGGCAAAGGCTAGGTGGACATGGATGTCGTCAGTGGATTAACACATGGTGCCCTGCTCCCCACGGGCGGCTTCTTCTCCAGTGATGACTCCTTTGTCATGATCCACGGGGCCCACATGTAGGTGACCATGCTGGGTGCCATGCAGGTCTCCAAATAAGGTGACCTGGCCAACAGGATGACCCGGGACAAAGGTGTCAGAGATAGGCAGGGCCGTGGGCTTGGCGTCCAGTGACAAGATCCGAGCGCTGGTCACCATGCCGCACGGCCCCAGGGACAAGGCCCCCACGTTCCTGGGTGAGTGCCCCGTGCGACTAAACAGGAAGCAGTGTAGCAACCGCATCACCACCGGGAGGGCCGTGTTCCAAGTGCACAGGAGGGGCTGACAATGGCAGAGCTCTCAGTGGCCTGCAGGTGACCGAGGTGGAGAGCAGCAGGAGCTATGGAGCTGTGCCTTTGCATGTTGCCGAACCTCAGGCCTGTATAGCAGGTGACTCCCTGATGGCTCCGAATGAGTATGTGGTTCTTGGGATACCCTCCTGCAGTGTGCCCAAGAGGGTGTGAGAGGCCACACGGATGCCTGGCTGGTGGCGGCCTCTCGGAGGTATCCGCTGGACAGACCCTGTCTTCTTGGGAGGGACCTGAATGCAATTAAAAACTAAGCAGACAGTGCCCACTCGTCCCCAGAGGTCTGGATTGGGCACAGCTCCTGGAGATCCTCTTCATCTTTCCCTTGTTCTGGGTAAAGCAGACATGTAGAGAGACCCCCCCCCCCATGGGCAGGACAGTGGTTCCAGAAATCCAGAAAACACGAAAGGAGCAAAGGAGACGGAGGGGAAGGTCACTGGCTGCCGCTGTGGTGACCAGGACCAACCGAGCATGCCTGTGGGCATGCATGGATGCTGGAGGCACCGTCCCCCTGGAACCTGTCCTCCTTCTCCGGGGATTTCCTTTCTGTGCGGGATTTTGTTTCCCTGTGCACTCCTAGCTCCTCCCACATCATTACTGGTCCTCAGTGTCCCCAGGAAAGGCAGCCGTGTTTCCCAGGGAAGGAGGCTGGCTTGGGAAACAGTAGCAGGCACTGAGCATCAAGGCCATCTCCTCCAGGGAGGCTCCGTCTGAGTCAGTGGTTTGGGAATGAGTGTGTTGAAGTGTATGTGAGTGTGAGATATGTGCATATGGTGGGGTGTGAGTTATGTATGTGTGGGAGGTGTGAGTGGGTGTGTGGGAGTCGTGAATGGGTGTGTATGAGGGATGTTATGTGTGTGTGTGAGATGTGAGAATGGCTACAACAGCTGGGGCTGAGCCATGCCCGAGCCATGCCCTGACCGCCATCCAAATCTCCCATATGGGTGCAACATCCCAAGGACTTGGGCCATCTTCTTTTCCTGGGAAGGGAATTTCAGCAACTGGGACTTCAAGTGGCACCCAAAAAGGTTGCCAGCATCGCAGTTGGCAGTTTAGGCTATGGTGTCACAGTGCCAGCACCTGAATTTTTTTTTTTTTTTGAGTTCCAACATAATGGCACCAGTGGAAATTTCTCCACCTGACTTCCTGTGATGGGTGCACGAGCCTGAGCTGAAATGTTAAGGTTAAGCAGTGCTGGCATGCCACATGGGAACTGTTTGGAGTCCCATCTGCTCCACTGCTGAGCTGGCTCCCTGTTAATGGCCTGGGAAGGCAGCAGTCAATGACCCAAGTCTTTCAACTCCTGCATCTGCCTGGGAGACGTGGATGAAGCTCCTGGTGCAGCCTGAGCCATTGTGGCCATCTGAAAAATGAACCAGTGAATGGAGGGTCTCTCTGTGTTTCTGTTTCTCTCTGTAACTTCCTTTAAAAAAAAAATAAATACTAAAAAAAAAATAAAATAAAATAAAAAACAAAAAACCAAAGGTGCACTAAAAATATTGCATGCAATTACCTTGAAGTTTTGTGTATGAAGTGTAAATGCAACTTAACATGTTATGATTAAGCCTCATTCCTAAATTATCTCATTATACATATGCAAATATCCAAAAATCTGGGGTAAAAAAGAGACAAAATCTGAAATACTTCTGTTCCCAAGCATTTCTCTTAAAGGCTAACCAGTCTGTCTAAATATGTGTCTATATGCTTACATACATGTATGTATGGCATATGTGGGGGTGTCATGATTACAACATGGAGATGAAATGTGTGCATGGAAACCGAACAGTTGGCACGCTCTTTAAGGAGCTGCTAGAATGAACCAGCAGAATGTGGCTAAGCAGTTTGCGCACAGGCGCAGCACGGAAGCTCTGTTGGGTTGTGACTGAGCAGGAGTGAATGCCTCAGGACATGAGGGTGCACCTGTCACAGGGACTCGCTCACAGGGGTGCTGATGGTGCAGATCAGACAGCCGGGACAAAGACGAACAAACAGCTTTGCGGTGCTGACCTCTGCCTAGGCTTCAGAGCGAGCTCGTGGGAGCAGCCCAGGAGAATGGAGGGCAGCACGTGGGGCCGTGGGGCAGTGGAACAGCCCAGGAGACTGAAGGGCAGCGTGTGGGAGCGGCGGGAGTTTTGGGTTGGAGCTTTTTTTATGACTTCTCTGAGTTCTGCAACTGCTCCCACAGCAAAGGAGAAAACGGGCATTGGCACCCAGTCAGGGCAGGAGGGCGGTTCTATTGGGGGCCTCCTCATGTGCCAGGCTAATCACCCAGCTTATCGGCAGCATCCTGGGATCAAAGTGACTGCGGGGAAACCCTGCTTCTCTGGGTTCTCCTCTTCCCAGGCCTGAGGTCCAAGTCTCACCTCTGCTTGCAGCCATTCTTTATCTGACTGTCAGCCGGGCCCAGTGACTGTGAACTTGGGCTGTGGAATGAGACCAGGGCAGCGGAACCTTGGTGGAGGGATGGTATTCCCTTGTCCCTGCCTCACTGGGCTCAGCCTTTCGTCTGTAGACCCTGGGGGCCTCAGAGCCGGCTCGGGCCTTTGCTGGGCATACAGGTCCCCAAGGCATGGCAGATGCTGCCATGAGTGGGGGCTGCCAAGAAGCAGGTGTGTGGGGGCGGCAGGACCCCGTGCTGGTGTCCCCCGACCTTGGCAGAGCTTGTGGACTGTACTCGTGACTGCGCAACTCTCTGTGAAGATGAAAAGCAGACTGTGGGAGAGACGGGACCAGGGGAACCCACGGGAGCGTGATGAGATCTGTGAACCCCACAGTGCCAGCATCACCACCTCTGGGCCAGTGTCACTTGTGGTTCCCAGGCCTCCAGCCACCCTCCTCCACTGCCTTGTGCCCAACCGTGGGGAGCTGCACTCCACGTGGGACTCAGGGCTGCAGATGAGGAAACCGAGGCTGGGCAGGGGGTGGTACTTGGCCCTTAGCCTCTAGATGCATCTGCGGCAAGGCCGGCACCCATGAGCGACCCTCTCTGCTCTCTGTCTCAGGGCTCAGCGTGGATCCTGGCCTGGCTGGGCTGCTGGGGCAGCGGGCCCCACGTTCCCGCCAGCCCTTCATGGTCACGTTCTTCAGGGCCAGCCCAAGTCCTGGGCGCGCCCCTCGGGCCCTGAGGCCCCTGAAGAGGAGGCAGCCAAAAAGAACCAATGAGCTACCGCACACCCACAAGCTGCCAGGGATCTTTGGTGAGGCTGGCAGGAACGAGGCAGGCGGGCTCCTGGGGAGTGGGGTGGGTGAGACTGGGGCGCCGCCCCCCTCCAGGCTCTCTGCATGCTGCAAGCCCTTGTTCCTCTCCTGCCTCCTTTCCTGACCCTGTCCTGTGCCCAGATGCACATTGACGGCGGCTACTGCCTTCAGCCTCTGAACTCTGTCCTGGCTGTCCCTGTCACCTACTGTCCCCTCCTCTTCTCCCCATGGAGCCTTTGTCAGACTCAGCCACCTTTTCCTTGGGCAGCTGTGGCCCCACCCCCCCACCCCTGAGACCCTCTGTTCTGGCCCAGACCAGCTATGCCAAGGTCAGTCCTTGGGGGTCAGGCCAGGACCTGCCCCCATATCCTCCTGCACCAGGAGCTGGCCCCTGGGCTGGCCTTGACTTGAGCCCCTGTGGAGTGGGCATGCTAGGTGAGGGGGGCCGGGCAAGAGGAGCCACAGGATGGCCAAGGGTCTTGCTGGGCTGGCCTGGGGCATCAGAGGCCGGGGAGTCGGGGTTGAGATGTGTTCCTTGGCAGCAGTTGGGTCATGGAAGGTTCTGAGCTGCGTCCCAGCAGCCCAGGGATGGCTTTATGAGAGCCATTCGTTAGTTCATTGTTCATTGTCAAATGTGCCCATGAGGGTAACATCCCCTGAACCTCTGAGATGACCTTGACCATCTGTCCCCACAGATGCTGTCCATGGCTCCAGTGGCCGGCAGATTTGCCGCCGGCATGAGCTCTACGTCAGCTTCCGGGACCTTGGCTGGCTGGTAATTGGTGACTCTGCTCCTTTTCACTCAGCGACTGTCCCCACCTAGGGGTCCCGTGACTCTCCAGGGGGAAGGGCATTGATTTGGTGTTTTTCTTCTGGGAGTCTATACTTTGTAAAGTGATACTGTGGTACTTTCATGTGAATTTAACTGTGACGCTGAAGCTGATCCAAGCCTGGGCCGAGGAAGCTGTCAGGTGTCCGGATGCTGATCTGCGCCCTGTGGATCCGCTGGGAGTGCAGCCCCAGATGGCCTGGCGGGGCAGGCTGGGGAGGCGGGGCAAGGATGGAGGGTGATGGGGACAGAGCTGGGGCCCAGCCCTCCTGAGCAGGGTCTCCAGGAGGATGGAGGGCGGTGGAGGTCTCAGGGAGGGCTGTGGCTCAGGGAGGAGGCTGGGCTCACCTCCCCCGTTGCCTCTCTCCCCAGGACTGGGTCATTGCCCCCCAGGGTTACTCGGCCTATTACTGTGAGGGTGAATGCCTCTTTCCACTGGACTCCTGCATGAACGCCACCAACCACGCCATCCTACAGTCCCTGGTCAGTACTGCAGCATCCTGGGAGGGCATAGCAGGTGTGATGGGCATGTCTAGTTGTGGGGGCAGTGACAGCTGCTCTGGGCTCAGCAGCTTCAAGGGGGCAGCTACTCCTCCTGAGGTCACATTTGCACACAGAAATCGTATGCAAATCCTGCAGCCTCCTGTGAAACAGTCGGGTGTGTCCCAGGGCCCAGCACACAACATGTGAGTGACATCCGTGTTCCTGTTTGTGCGTGCCTGATGCAAAGGAGAGTGCACACACCATGGATGCACTTGCCCACATGGTATCTTGCCCACACACATGGTAGGCACTGCTGTTTCTGACTGCCTTGAAACGGCTGTAGCACATACCACTATTCACAGCACAGGCAGGAGCGCCACCAGCCGGCCTGGCTGCTCCTCTGGGATTTGGCTCTGAGCCTCAGGCTGTTGCCTGGAGCTCTGTTGGCTGTGTGTTCCCTTGATTAGGGCCTCTCAGTGAAGGAACAGCTTCTAGTGATGCAGCTGACCTCATAGACCCCCGTCCCCTTCTAGCCCCCAGCAGCAGCACCGCTAATAAGGTTGCCATGGTAGAAGAGTCCTCAATAAAGAGTGACCAGGAACGGTGACGCTTCCTTTCTCAAAAGTCGAGGACCCTTGTGGGTGCCCAGAGCAGCCTTTCCGGGAGAAGGGTTGATGCTAGGACCCGCAGGGTCCAGCCCAGGATAGAGAGGCTCATAAGACAATGAATGCACCTGCTTTTCCCAGGCCTGCGACCCCCTTACACCAAGGCCTGGCCATAGCTTCCGCCCCCACACACAGTGGCTTCACAAACATGGGTTCTCATGACCTGCCAGGCAACAGAGCAGAGCACTGCTGTTCCCTGGGGAGGCCTTCAGCAGACTCGAGAGAGCCAGAGACCCTCCATGGAGTGAGCCTGGGCCAGGCTGTGTGGCCCAGGAGGAGCAGGATCAGCAGCTGCAAGGGGGCGGAGCAGGGCAAGGTCCCAAGTAAAGATGGGAGCTGGGCAGGCTCAGGGCCAGAAGGAGGTGAGGCTGGAGGAGAGCAGGGAAGGGGAGGGCAGAGGGGCAGGAAGTTTGGGCTGGGCTGGGCCGACCCACAGAGGGAGTGTGGATTTTACTGTAAGTAAAAGGAGACGCTGTTGGAAGGTTCTAACAATGTGGAGGAGGCAGGGGGTCGGGTGATGACAACATGGACCAAGTAGGGCTGATGGGGAAGTGAGAGAAGGCCACAGGAATAGGGATAGGGTGGACATTGCAGGCTAAGGAACAGTGGGGAGCAGAGGAGTCAATCACCACCCCCCTCCCCCCAGAGCTGGCCTGACTGACACCAGGCAGTGTCTCCGAGGTCAAGGCCAAGGAGTGGAAGGCGTGACCTGGAGGCAGTATTGTTGGGGGGAGGGGGCAGGGAGGGGATGAGTGGGTCTGCTAGACCCTGGGTACAAGGGGTGGGCAGCTGGACCCATAGGTCTGACACTCTGGGAGAAGTACATTCATGCTTGAGTCACAAGGACTTTGGAGGGTCCCTGAGCCCTGCAAACCTCCCTGGGGGAGACGGAGCACAGGGCAGGGGCGAGGAGGGACTCCCCAAGCCACTGGAGCCAGGGAGACAGGGGTACATGAGGGCAGCCAAACCTCCATGGGTCCTATATGTCCACCCTGCGGGGCAACTGTTCATAAAGCAGCAGGCAGGATCCCACCAAACACAAGGCTCTTGGATTGATCTTGGTCATGGATTCTCATTCTCCCCATGATGAGCCCCTGGCTGGGCATGCAAGGCTCCTCAGTAGCTGCTCTACCGAGCTGTTCAGCCTCTCCTGGTCCCACGTCCTCCCCAGGATGTAGACTGTCCCCAGGGGCTCCAGCCTGCCTTGGGTCACTGCTGCGTGTTCTGGTTGCCCCCTGAAATATTCCTTCCTCTCTGTGTCCCTGTCCATGTCCCTGGACAAGCAGGTGACAGTGAATTTTGAGTCAATCTGGCTGGGTATCCACCCAACGCCCTGGGGCACGGACTCAGAGCCAAGTGCAGCAGTCCAGGATGGGAAAGGGGGTACAAGCGCCCTTCAGACAGCTCTGTGGTCCCGTTGGGCAAGCGCTGGGTGAGGCTGGTCCATAAAACACCCAGAACACATGACTGCAGAAGTAGGGGCCCCTCCACCGTCACCTTCCTTCTAGAGGCTGGCATCATCCTTCAGGCCTGAGGAACAGGGCTTTACTGGAAATTCCAAGTGGGCAACTCACTCTAGTAGACTCCTGTGGTCGGTGCACACTGATTTAGGTAGGGCTGCACTGTCCATAGCTTATATGCCTCAGTTATCTGCAAAGACTGCTATTTGCATTGGCCGGCCATCGTTAGGATGGTGACATTTATCCCAGAAGGCAGCATGGGCAGTGCAGGTGGTTTGTCTCTGAGCCTCCCCTTGCCCACAGTTGGAGACAGAAAAGAGGACAGGGCCCGGCGCGATGGCGCAGTGGTTAAGGTTCTCTCCTTGAATGCACCGGGATCCCATATGGGCCCCAGTTCTAATCCTGGCAGCCCCGCTTCCCTTCCAGCTCCCTGCCTGTGGCCCGGGAAAGCAGTTGAGGACGGCCCAAAGCTTTGGGACCCTGCACCCATGTTGGAGATCTAGAAGAGGCTCCTGGCTTTGGATCGGCATAGCATCGACTGTTGTGCTCACTTGGGGAGTGAATCATCAGATGGAGGATCTTCCTCTCTGTCTCTCCTCTCTGTGTATCCGCCTTTCCAATAAAAATAAAATAAATCTTAGAGAAAAGAAAAGAAAAAGAAAAGAGGACAAGATCCCTGAGGGGGAAACGGTGGCACTGAGGGGAAAAGCATGAAAGGAGGCCCCCGACAGTTGCATCCCAGGCATGCAGTGTGCTGGGGACTGGCATAGCAAGAAACAGAGATGAGCAGTGGGGCTGAGGTGAACAGAGGCTGCACGATCCATGGGGCAGGGATTGTCTGGGACATGTGCTGATTGCAGCATGCAGAGAAACAGCTGTGTGGCGGATGTCACATTGGTGGAAGCTCAAGAATGAGCATGGAGTGCAGGGGTAGGAGGGGTTAGTGGGCTGAGCTCCCCAAGGTGGGCCGGGATGGGGAGCAGGTGGAAGCTGGCTGTCACTGAGCTGATGCCCTCCCTCTCCTGCACCTGCTCTGGCCAGGTGCACCTGATGAAGCCAGATGCAGTCCCCAAGGCGTGCTGCGCACCCACCAAGCTGAGCGCCACCTCCGTGCTCTACTACGACAGCAGCAACAACGTCATCCTGCGGAAGCACCGCAACATGGTGGTCAAGGCCTGCGGCTGCCATTGAGCCTGACTGCCACCCACTGCAGCCAGCGCTCCCCAGCCCTCTGCAGAGACTCTCCAACGTTCCCACATACCTTTCCTGCCGGGCTTCTGCCAGGCCCTCTGCCCTGCTTTCCCGGCAAGCCTCACACTCAACAACCCCAGAACAGTGTGCTGGCTGCTCTCTCTGGAGTCAACATGGAACTTCTGGCTGAGATATGCCCACAGTACAGTCATCCCTGGCCCACCTGGCACTTGAACTCGGCTGACTCAAGCTCTGTGCCCCTTGCACAGAGTTCAGGTATGGGCTGAGGGCTGTGCCCTTGCCCAGGTGCAGCACTTGGACATGATTACAGTTCACTGGGTTCTGGACATGGGCATTGACATGGTAGGAAAAGGCCAAGCTGTGAGCGCCTGGGACTTAGGACTACAGGAAAAGGAGGTGTTTCCTGTTTCTTGATGTCGTCTCCTGCCCTGGACACCTCCTTCTGCCTGGGAAGACCCCAAGAGAAACAAAGAACCTGGGGGGTCTCGCAGTTCCCTCTACTGTCTCCACCATGTTGACTGAGTTGAGTCTTGGCTCTGGGAAGAAGTTAACTTATAGCAGAAGCGAGAACAGCAGCTGCAGGGGCGTCCCAACCCCCACCTGCAGGTGCTCCATGCCCTTGTCCACTGCCATGGGAGCAGATCCAGATGGGTACTTTGTCCTGTGGGCAAAGAACTACAGGCCCTAGCTGTAGGCAACTGCCTAGGTTGCCTTGTACCTAGACAACTGTTACACTGCCTATACAGTAGAGCTGCTGGGCATTTTTGTGCTAACTATATACCAGTGTGCTGACATAGTTGCTTATTTATTCATTTTTTGTTTAGATGAGTAGGGAAGGAAGGAAATACCACAAGAGGACACATAGCCTCAACCCCAAGACAGCAGGGACAGGATGAGGCTGCAGATTTCCCAGGAAAGAGGGTCTAGGAACATATTGGAGTGAGAGCAGCTGAGGGTGTATTGATGGGGAGAAATGACTTCTGGGGTCTTCCACGGACCAGGCCACTGAACCTGCAGGTAGGTAAGGCAGTTAAGACACAGAGATTTAGAAGGGAGAACCCAAAGGACATGTCTGACTCAGTCCAAGGCACCTGCACTTTTTGGAGACCTTAGATGGGCTAAATAGCATCACTCACTGACTCCTAGTGCATGCAAAAGCTGTGGCTGGGGGCATACCTGGCTGGGTTAGCCCATAATACCAGCCCATGAGTGTCAAAGTAAGGGTAGGCCACCCACCAGAACATGAGAGAAGTGGATCTGGGACAGATTCTATAGGGGAGTTGTGAGTTTGCCTCTGGGACTGCAGCACCCAACAGTTTATGTGGATAGGGCAAGAGATGAGCTAAGAATATGTGGATAGCTGGGGCAGTGATGGGCCAAGTCAGGCTGGACCATGGAACTCACCTGATAGGACTTGACCGTCGCGGGAGCTGGGACTTGAAGGAGGCTGGGCAGGGCCAGGCTGCAGCACCTGCTGGCACATGCAAAGGCTGGGACTGAGGGCAGAAAATACCAAGCAGGGCCACTGCACCTGCCAGCACATTTGGGATCCAGGGCTAGGAGCAGGCCTGGTAAGGGAACTTGGGGTACTCTCCTATAAGGCAACAGCTCCCATTGGGGAGCACAAGAGCTGGGAAAAAGCCAGTCAGGCAGTGCTGCAGAACTCCTCAGCATTCAATGAGCCACATCTGGAGACAGGCTGGGCTGGGCCAGGCCATAGCACCCACTGGCATGCATAAGAGTTAGGACAGGGTGTGGGCCATGCCTTGCTAGAATAGGCTGTAACACCTGTCAGAGAGAGCTGAGACTGCAGGCAGGCCATGCCAGGCTGGGTCAAAGCACCCTCCACAATATACAAGATCTGAAGCTGGGAACAGGCCTTGTAGGGGAACTCTGAGGACTCACCCTGCTGGGTTGCAGCTCCTGCTAGTGAGTGTGAGAGCCAGGGATGCATGCAGACCAGGCTGGGCAGCAGCCATCAGCATGTGTGTGGACTGGATGTAAAGGTGCGTCAGACTTGGCTAGGCTGTAGCACCTGCTGATGCCCATGAGAGGCAGAATGGATGTGGGACAGAGCCAGTAGGGCTAGGCTGCAATACCCACCAGTGAGTGCCAGGACTGGAGGCCAGCCATGCCAGCAAATGTGAGATCCACTGCTGGGAGTGGGCTGGTTGGGGAACTTGAAGAACTCACGTGCTAGGCTATTGCTCCTGTCGATAAGCACAATAGCAGGGGCTGGGAACAGGCCAAAGGTAGGTGGCAGTTCCCATTGGCATATATGTGAGCCAAGTCAGAGATGGCCTGGGCAGAGTCAGTAGACAGCACACACTGACATGAGTGAGAACCAGAATACAGTATAGCCCAGGCTGGGTTAGACCACAACACCTGCCAATTCACATGAGGATTGGAACTGGGAGTATACCAGATTGGGCTAGACTGTTGCATCTGCCAGCAACAGCTGGGACTGGAGGTGGGCCAGGATGTGCCAGGCTGCAGCAACTTCTGGAGAATGCCGAGATTGGGGGTAGACCATCTCAGACAGCTGCAGCACCTGATGGCACACATAAGACCTGAGGCTAGGAATGGGCCTGGAAGGGGAACTTCAGGGACTCCCTTGCTGGGTTTCTGCTTCCACTGGTGAACGTGAGAGCTGGGACTGGAGGTAGACTGGTCTGGAAGTGGGCCAGGATCAGCTAGGCTGCTGTACCCACTGGCATGCATGAGAGCCAGAATGGCTGAGGACCAGCTGGCAAGCACCAGGGACTAGGTGCAAGTCATGTCATGCTGGACCACAGTGTCACCTGATTGGGAGTAAGTCCAGCAGGGAACTTGTATGCATTCCCCTGCTAGGCTGTTTCTATCACTGGTAAGCATGAGAACCAGGGCTGGGGGTGAGTCAGGTTGGTCAAGGTGGTGTGCTCACTGGTGGGTACTGCAGCCTAGCCCCACTGGCCCATACCCATTCTGGCTCTCATTGAAGGCCTCTCCCCGTATTGGCATATATGAGGTCTAGGTCTGGAGCAGATTGGTCTGGGCTAAGCCACAACATGCATGAGTGGGCACAAGAGTAGGATGGGATGCAGGCTGGGCTAGACTAGGCTGCAGCAGAGGCTGGCACATGCAAAAAACAGGGCTGGGGGGTGGGTTATTGGGGGTTGCCTGAACTAGGCCACAGGACCCACTGGTATGCCTGAGGACCAGGTCTGGGGTGGATTGGCTGGGCTGGGCTGGGCTGGGCTGCAGCACCGTTCAGGCAAAAACCTGAACCATCCCCACCCTAATCAGAAACCCACAAGGGCATGCATCCCTCTCAACTACATAAATAACACTAGAAAGAAAATAAAAGGGCCTGGCACAATGGCCTAGGGGCTAAAGCCCTTGCCTTGAACGCACCGGGATCCCATATGGGGGCCAGTTCTGATCCCGACAGCTCTGCTTCCCATCCAGCTTCCTGCTTGTGGACTGGGAAAGCAGTCGAGGACGGCCCAAAGCCTTGGGACTCTGCACCCGTGTGGGAGACCTAGAGGGAGTTCCTGGCTCCTGGCTTCGGGTCGGTGCAGCACCGGTCATTGAGGTCATTTAGGGAGTGAATCATCAGACAGAAGATCTTCCTCTCTGTCTCTCCTCCTCTCTGTATATTTAACTTTGCAACAAAAACAAACAAACAAATAAATAAATAAATAAAAATGAGAAACCAAGAACTGCAGGGAAGTCTCCAGAGGCTGCTCAGAGCTGCCACAGGCCCAGCCTAACCTCTGTCCTGAGTTCTGCTCCACCCCATGCACCTCGGCCAGCCCAGTGCCAAAGCAGGCATTGGCAGTGTTTATGTCTGGGCACCAGGAACAGGCAGGACACTAAAGTCTGTGTCACCCTGCATGCCTCGTAGCCCTGTCCTCTTTCTCAGACCTGTGAGTCAAAGGGAAGGCCCCTGTCCCCGGACAGGCGGTAATTAGGCCGAGCTGGGTGGGGAGCCTCGTCTCAGCCTCCACTGTTCTGGAAACCGCTGTGCTCCCTGCAGGAGCGCTGGGAGTTGTGGTGTTTATTTGATTTCTGACTCACAAAGCCTGTAATTTACCTGCTGGGACAGACAGAGTCCAGCAGTCTGGACCCCGTAATTAAAAGCAGATCCTCGGTCTATCCCAGCCATGGGCATGCCCAATGGAGGCAGGAGCAGCAGAGTCCCAAGGATGCGTCTTGGGCTCATGTTCTTTGAGGATGAGTTATAGGGAAGGGGTGGGGGGACTGGGACCATGCTGCATCTGCACCTAGGAGGGCCTCTGGGTACAGATGCCAAGGGAGAGACCCTCTCCTTACCCACCATGCCCCCAGACCCTGGAGGGGGAGCAGGCTCTTGGTTCAGGCTGGCAACAAGTGGCCCAGGCACCCGCCTGAATGTCAGGAGACTCATATTTTTTATTTCACCTCAGCCAGTAACTTGCTTAGTGTCTGAATAAGTCCTCTTTCTTGTCCCTGCCTCCAATTCGCCATCTATGACACGAAGACACAGGACACTTTGGTAGCCCAGGCCTTTCCAGCCAGGGCACCAGCCTGCCAACCTGACCCTTGGCCCCAAGAAAGCTGGGAGCCCAGTGGCCTTGTCAGGAGCTGACAGCCCAGCAGCAAGCGGCTCCCAACGCCAGGGCTGGAGAAACTTGGACACACTAGGGACTAGCACCTAATGTGGCCTGCTTTGGGGGCTGCAGGAGAGCATGTGGACAAATGGCTTGAAGGCAAATGACACATCAAACACTATCAAACACATCAAACACTATCAGAAAACACCTTAGGGGATGCGACGAGGTCATCATGCAGAGAACTGATGAGGTGTTGGGGCCACTTCCCAGCGCTTGGTCTCAGCTGGTCACCGCTGGCAGCATAGGCTGCTGTTAGTGTTAACAAGGGCAGCCAGCCCCGCCCAGTGACAGCAGGTGCATGCTTACTGGTGGGGAGGGCGCAAGGGTGAGTGAGGCTGGGGTCATCCTCACAGCTGCCTGCATAGTGAGGGA